CATAACATAAGCTCCTGAAGAGTGAACTTGCAGACCCAGGTTCTTCTCAGACCTGGACGTGAGTAAGTAAGCTAAACTTATGCAGTTCTTCAACTTCCGAGGCATAAATGTACCTATCAACTCTCAACTATAGCTGTGTTTCTCAACTTTAATATAGCATTCGACTCCATAGATTTACAGCTTTTATGGCAATATCCGTGATTGTAAGGGTTACCAAATAAGTACATTGATCTTGTACAGGTTTTCCACTCGAAAATCACTAGTCGAGCTAGAGCTTATGGCGAAATCTCATAGGAATCAGTCTTCATCAAAGCTGTATGCTCTCTTCATTTCTCCTTTATTTTATAATAGACATTATTTTAGAGATTATGCTCACATCGTCTGACTTCTCATGAACTGATCAACCAAGAGGTTCGGTTGTTGACGTAGAAAATGCATATAAGCAGTTTTCTGATTACTTTGATCGATAGTGCAAGGATTTCTTGAATATGTTTCTTTATCTCCAATAGAAATTTTGCTTCAAGACCGGGCTTAATCAAGCCTGAACTCAGTATAGGGAGCGAGGTAGCTGAGTGTATTTATGACCTCACTTATATTTAAAGTTCCATCAGCCCTGCAAAGTTGGTGTCAGACAAAACCCCGACACCGGTTCATAAAGGTCGGTTACCTTTTCGCGCCAATAGGTAATAATTGAATTAGGTTTGGCTAGGAATGATTTGTACTCTAGTATCAAAACCAAGGAGAACACAGTGACGGCTGGAATTATCGTATTTGCAAATCAAATCAACCGCGAAATCATCTACATAGGTATTATTACTATATACAAACGTCTCACTTTCGTCAACCTACGAGATATCTGTTTTATCAACTCAAGGATGGGTTTACTGCGCAGCGATTCACCCTTCCCTAATTTACAGGCTCAAAACACAACCTTTAAAAATAAAGGATATTCGTAGGTTACTAGTATTGGATCATTGGTTTCTTCGATGTATTGCTCGTATATTTAGCAACTTAGTAATTCTGAGGTTAGATGCAGAGTATGGAGAACTAGTTGACAAGGTAGTGAATATTTATCAACTGTGATGGTTGGGACTTGTTATACTAGTGCCAATCCACCGACTACCACAACGGGCGATACTGTCTAGTGTAGGAGTAGGATAGGATAAAGCTAGGGACGGGAAAACTGGAAAATAGCATCAATCCGTAGAGTTGCCGACTGCTAGACTGAGGCATGTAGTAGGTGTATACTACCTGGATGGTGTCTAAGCGATTATGTCGATCAGTGGTTGAGGCCTTTCAATGACATGACTAAGAATCGTTCGCAATGGAGCAGAATTGTTCACTCTTTATCTTCTCTAAGATCCAAAGTTTTCAAATTCTCCAAAACTTTCCATTATTATGTCACCAATTTATATTTTCTTCTCTAACTATATTTTGGATTTCGAATCTTTTCTGTTAGCACTAATATGTTACTACCTCTGCTACATTGGAATTTACTCCAACAATTTCGTCTCATTGTGCTAACGAGGTATATCAACTTCAATTAATAGTATCATCAGTCCAAAAAGAAGTTACAAAATATTTTCAGTGAAAACACAAATGGTACACAGGACAAAATTTAAGAATAGTAAGTGAAATTAAACTTTACATGTAGCAGTTATCAGAGATCGTTCAGGTAAAGTTAAACTGTGATTTCCATATTAACAAAAATAAAATTACTAATGTCACCATAGAGATCGACTTCTTTACACTCTTGTTGACAAGTGAATTTAACTCATAATTATACTCAAACTACTTAAATGAACAACAAATCTTTTTATGAAGCTGTTTGGCCAAAAGCTTTGTTAAAATATTTTGATTTAGTTTTTGTCTATACTCTAATGAATGCTGTAATGTATTAGTAAATTAAATAACAATTACAGTGGTTTTGAAATAATGGATTTCTAAGTGTTTATTTAATGTTGTCATTTAAATTCCATCCATTTAATCAAGTTTTCTAATTGAACAACTCTACCTTATAGTCAGCTATTATGTATCAAGATGTATGCTGAAGTAGAAGTTATCATTACCAAGGTTCGACTTGATGATTTCGAATAAATTCATAATTGGGTAGACTGTTATAAATAAATTATAATAAGTAGAAAAATTAAGTTTCCTGACGTTTTGTGACTCAGTGTAAGTCACTTCTTCAGTGAATAAATAAATTACGAAATTAGGTGGTTTCTTTGTGTACCTAAGATGTTCTTTCACTCCAGTGAAGATTTCGCGAAAGGTCAGGAAATTTAATTTTTCTATTCATTTGGATATTATAGATATATTAATTTATTTTATTTATGTTGAAGTAGGTTTTTAGAATCATAAACTTGTCTATTTAAGTAAAAATGTAAATACAAAGTTTTTATTTCACTTAAACAACACAGATACAATAAGAACAATAAAAATGAAATATTTGTTCAATTGAAGCATAGTTTCTTTATAGAAAACATTAATAAACTATTTAAACGTAGTTTGTTGTTTTAGTTATTTTTGTTGACGACATATTAAACATGTTAATTGTACTTTAAGTATTCTGAGTTTAAATCAGAATATAATGTTTGGTAGAAAAATATATATAAAAAAAAACAAAAAAAAGAAAGAATCTGTTCATTAAATTATGTTAAATGAAAGTATATAGCACACTTAAAGTTCATTCCTAATTGAAGTTCACACATCTTTATGTTCATACTGACAACGATTGTTTATAGTAATACAATCATCTAGTTCTGTGAGTTCAATATCACCAATATAAGTTAAATATAGTGCCAAGTTTTTTTTTAAAAACTAATGGTAAATATATTTTAAATGTTTTATCAGTCCATTTAAGTATTTCAGTTCAATTAAAATCTGAAAATTCCGAACGATTTCTTTTTCTTAAAAAACAAAATAAATACGTGAAATCAGTCATTAAAAAAATTAATATAACAGAATTTTAACGGTTATTTCTTCAGAGTTTGGATAGTGAAAATAAGTGTGTTTGTTAAGCTACTATTTAATGATGGACAAAAATCGATTAGCCATGTTATAAGTCGAATGAACTATACTATAAAAAGAAAACTAGAATAGAGTATACTCATTTGATATATAGTAATAAAAGTGTTGAATATTAAAACTTTCAATGTAGCTCAGTTAATTTGATGAAGCTTCTTATCTTTGTTTTAGTTTAATTTTCATCAAATATGATAATTTCAAACTAGGAAGTAGACCAATGTTTTGAATTATTTATTAGGATTTCTATTCATCACCTATACAAGTTGAAGTCATTTGATAGTAGGGCGAAGACTACAATATTGGAAGTTTCAATAATTGATTTAGACATGTATGGGTCTATCGGGAGGTTGATTATGAATACAGTGGTCTTGTGTGTTGTTAGATGTATGAGGGCGGTTATCACTTCCTGGTTGCTCACACCATGGAAGGGTTCTTCTGGAGGTACCTGAAAAGGGAATTGGATTAAAGATGGTCTAAGTGACCTGAGAGCGTGACCGCAGTGCCCAAGAGACGACTGTTTGAGGTCAGTCACACACGACCTTTTTATGAGTAATTTTCATGTTAGCTCAGTATTTGTTGAGACCTTACCGCCGGAGACGGATATCCGTGGGATAAGGCGAGGTGTGCATTTTTAGGGTCGACTTTTTCTAACCCACCCCTCCTTGTGGGATGGCAGCATCGCTGTCATGCTGGTTGTCTGAAGGAAGCACCTTACTGCTGCCACACCTCTGTACAGTCAGCAGTACGACTTCGTCTTCGGACCTTAGGTTTGTTGCTTTTAGTCTTACCGCTCTTCAACCGACCCGTCTGACATGGTAGGACCTTGAGGAACGGTTGTTCCAGCCAGTATAGCTCGGTTGCTTCATCACGATAGGCAAGCCCGACCACCACGTCAAGGTAGCAACAACGGTCTGGTCTATACTTGTATATACTTTGATTTAAGACAGAACAAGAAGTACCTAATACTCTGAAATTGTAAAATATATTAACACAGACTTCTATCATTTTACGTCATGACTGGAAATCCTTTTTTTCAATTTCTCTTAATTATTTACTTTTACATGAGTGAATTCCGTGATTTTCCCAATTAATGAATTCTATCAGCTAATATTCTGTTAATCAGTTTAAGCTATACATCAAAGATCTAGATGAATAAATCAAATTTCGGATAGTTTATTTCTATTATTTCAGAAGTGTTTATTTATAGTTTGGTTAATTATTATTCCGGTAGCAAGATTATGTTATACTTTACCTAGAAGATAACTATTATATATTGTTCAAAACAAAATGTTGCAATTCAAATATGTCACGTTTACTACTCACCTTGTTACACAATCACGTAGATACTTAAAGACTGTTTTCATCATATATTACATGTCAGGTGTTATGTCTCTGAAAATCGGTTAACATTAATCATTTTAGAATATTGAAATTTCATTACTGGACATATTATTACCCGTTTTTGTGACAGAATGGAGGATAGTATTGAAGAACAGTTGAGGTTTGTTCACAAAGGTCTTTTTTAAGTAACTTAAAGTAGTATAGTTCTGATTCTATCAATGTGTAATTTAATAAATCAATCCTTATTCGAATATTTGTCATGTTTCCTAGATATATGATTTAACTGAGGCTTTCATTATCGTTTGAAGAAACTAGAATGTTTTGTGGTTAATTATTTATAGATAGAAGAATTTTGTTTTTAATGTATAATTAGACATATCGACTTTGCTAGCTGCTACGTCAAGTCTTAGTTACAGCTTGTTAGGTCCTTGATCTACCTGCTCTCTAGTCTGCGTTTATTATACAGATAAAGAATCGCACTGGTCTCATTTACGGTCTTGATGAGATGGTTACTTAGTACAGCCCTAAGACTTGTAACATATGAGTTCCTTGTGCCTGGACGGCCTTGAGGGTATATATATATATATATATATATATATATATATATATATATATATATTCACGTGTTTAACTATCAGGTCACTGAAAAATTCATTTTTAGCTAATTTTTGCATAATAATAATTCACATTTTTTATATCTAATTAACATTATTAGATAAACATATGCATAAATCGTTGGCTTCACAGAAGTTCTGAAAGTTGTAAGATTCTTTTTTGCCTAAACGTAAATATTAGTGTTATACCGGAGTAGCGAATAGTAATGACAAAGTCGTCCATTTTCGCTTCAGCTCACTAGATATTCCCTTCAATAAAAGTTTGGGGACATTGTTATAAACGACATCACTATTTCGTGGACTGCCTGTGTATCTAACTGATGAGCCATTTATACAGTTACAAGCAGCCATGAAACTATATAATAAGTTCAAGTGTATATGTATGGTGGATTGTGGAATTATCCGGAATTCCTTATTTAAGCTAGTTTATTATATAAATGTTTAGAAAATCTTAGTTTTTGTAGGGATTTAAGAAGCGATTGATGATGTTCTGAAAAAAAGGTAACTACCTTGGAATTTGGTAAGAAAACACTTTTCTGGTAGTTTATAAGATATAAGTTGGCTCTTTTTGAAGAAGTAAGTTACAATGACTATTAAACAAATAATAATGTTATTCTATATATTCAGATAGGTCATAAAGAAAGGGAATAAAACACATACATTTATTTCAATATTGTACCCAGTTCCAAATATTTTCAAAGATATAATCTCTTTCATTGAATTTTCGTCAGTAAATTAAGAATCTTTTCTGGGAATTGTGTGAAAACTTATCAATACTCAATCCTTTTTAAGTTTGATATAAACTGTACATAATTAGTTTACTATCAGGTTACAAGTTTATCGAACATTATTTCTTGATTTAATTTGAAGAATGAGAACATACTTTATGTAATAGTTTATGAGAGGTCCTTTAAAAAATACATGGTTAAACTTATAGTATGCACTTGTGAGGACGGCCCACGAGTGAATTCAAGGAAGCTCTAAGAAGCTCGGAAACGGCCGAAGATATTCAATCCACTCATCTTTTGGAAGAATATTACAGAATCTTTACATGTAGCTTCACTACTGAACAAATACTAAAACCCCCTGTATGCGTATTGGATGACTCTAATCATGATTTTGTTTTTACTAAGAAAACTATGTAGACCTGAGAGTTTTGTATCATATTTGAAACTGTTTGGAATAGCATTCCTTTCACTTGTCCTCTGTCTTCTCATTTGCGACTTGGAGGGTTCTAGCGTTTGAGTGCTCTATTTGTACGCGGTATATTAAGAATCTAACCCCTAGATATAACAGTACTGTGATTATATATATACAGTCATCATAATGAGGAATTATCAGGCTTTGTTGGTTGGAAAAAAGACCAGTCTGTTACAGAAAACAATAATAACATATAAATATAGACCAGTTGTTCCAACTCCGTGGGTTTAACTTCTGGTGGGTTAGTAGTAGCACACTTTATAAGGGTGCTGTAATAAAATGAAACGAATGACCATTATTTATTTTTATACCTCTGTTAGCCACTACCTAAAATATAACGAATAAAGCTTAAATGATTTATAGTATTTTTAATTTTTAGAAATCAAAGTCTTAATACACGGGTAGTTAGAGGAAAGGTTTAGCTAGAATAATCATAACCAATAAGAACGAAATTATCTGCTCATAACTGTGTACCAACATTTTTACTATTATCTCTTTAAATGAGAAAATCAAACATCGTGAAATATTTTAGCTATAAAGTAATCCAGTTAGGAAATCCAAAAATTTCCCTCTTCAACATTTCTAGAGGCCAAAGAAACATCAAGAAATGTTTTATCTAATTGATGTTGCATAGAAGCTTCAAAAAAAACATCTGGGAAATGGGGAATCAAGTGTTGTGTTTTCGAATAAATGCTCACCTATACCATTAGCATGTTTTCACGAAGTTCCAAGAGTCCAAGGTCACAACTAACATCAGAAATCGACCTTGGAGTAAATCTCTAACTTACATTTTGCGCCATTTCTCCATTGTTCCAATTAACTTGCAAAAGCAGTTTTGGGGCAAGATAGTAATAAGACAGTCAGTAGTAAACGTTTGAATTGGTTTGGATTGGTTGTCAAGGCTAAATGTAAATTTCTTGTCCAATAGATCCTTTGATCACATTAAATATCACCTTACATTGTACCAAGTAATTTGCATAGCCTTGTGGAATATAAGGAGAGCTGAATGGACGAGTTCCACTGGATTTTATGAGGAAGACATGTCTATCAGAATAAAAATTTACAAGGACATTTGGCAGTCATTAACTGAATGTACTTACAACTCCAAAATAATGAGCTATAATGGTTTAGCCGAAAACAATTTAAGGATACATTGATTCTGATTGACTTATTATGTTAGTTCTGCAGTGTAAATTATGAACGTATTTATTTGAACGAAACTTAATCACCGTAAGCTAAATAATTACAACAAAAGCATTGATTTGAATACACTACATGATTTTAAACCAGTGTTGTAAACTTCCTTATTTATCAAAATTAGAAAGCAGTTATTCTACTGGACATTTTTAGTAAACTGCATTTTGTTTTGTTTCTTAGTACATAAAACTATAAACACACTGAATACATATATACTTTGTATGATACAAGTGTTTGTTGCAATTAACTTTGTTTATGTTTCAACTCCCAAAATACCATAAAAATTATGTTTTTAAAAATATATTTGTGGTTTAAGTCGTAACATCAAAGTTAAGGTAAGTTAACTGTTGAACTCTCGTTGTCTCAAATTATCACTAGAACTAGTAATTAATTATATTGATTTTTCAAATAATTTAAGTGGAAACTTCTATATTCTTCTTAGTATCATTTTGTACATTCATGTGTCAAAGAAGTGATGTTGAATCCATATAAAGAAAAATTCTACAATCAAAAAAATATATTGATCTTTCAATCCGAGAATAAAAATAATGAGAGCACGCAAAACTGTCAAAAATATGATAAAAATTTCAATAATATAACTGATGATTAAGTAAGTTGATGAGAACGTTTGTTATCTAAAAATTGTGACAAAGTTGATCCTTTTCTTTATCACATTGAAAGATATTTTGATAATCGAGCTTTGAATGTAGGCTTTTTAGTTTGCTTCAATAGTTTGACATGCCATCAAAGAAGACCTTCTGGATACTTCTCAAACACCCAGTGGGAACGCAGTTGCTCGTATATCGAACTTTAGTAAGTTGCTAGTATATATACTATATATTGATCAACTTCATCCATGGTGTCTTGTTCATTCCTAACATGTCCGATTTCTGTTTAGCAACAATACTCCGTGCGCTTGTCATTTCTGGGATAACGCTGCTTTTGTTTTTTAATAAATTTGAACTAAATATTTTAAACCTTCTCATTTGCATATGATTAACTTGCTCATTAATAACTTATCATCATTTCCCTTATTTCATATCGACTTAAAACTTCGTTTTAGTAAAAACGTTACTCTCTAAATGCAGCATAACGTATAGCATTTAGAAATGGATGAGGAGATGTCAATCTCAGAACAACAATCAAAGTTTATCTACGATTCATATATTACAATAGGTTGTTGTAATAATTCTAACTTACACTTTCATTATACAGGGGTACAGGTTTAATATTGACCAGGTCACGCTAAAATATGTCATAACCGATTAATTTTTCAAATCTCGAATTTTAGTGCGCAGTGCAAAGCGAAGTGCTCCCATAGTTACATATTAGACTTTTCATTAATAAATGCAATCTAGTGTGAGTAATTTATCGTCAAAATATTATTTTCTATATCAGTAAATGAATTATTCTTTGAAATGGATAAACATTCGATAGAGAACTACATGCACACGTATTTTATTTTTTATTCAGTTAGGAAGTTTTCTTCGGATATCGTGTCAAGAAACCAGTGTAAGACTTTTGAAATCATTTTGAGTGCTATTATTTCATTTTGCTAGTGTAAATTTTTTTACACCTGATGTTAGCATTATGGGTTGTTGTAACTGCAAACTAATCACAGAGTAACTGGACTATTTTTAACGAATATTATTGTCAACCAATCAAATAATTTCAGTTTCTACCAATCAAATTCCTGTGAATAGATCACAGTCATAATCCCATGAAGAGAAGAAATCTTTTTAAATCATCTTGCAACTACAACTATTTTAACATCCAAGCAATTCATTGTTTAAATAATGAATAATAAAAATGATTAAAAACTGACTTTTGTCACTTAATTGAAACCTACATGCGCATCTTAAATGTTTTCATTTAATAAATCTATGGTAAATGATATTTGAAAATCGGAAAAATATATTTTATGTGGAAATAGGGATTATTTTACTGTCTGGAATAGGTGGTCTTTTAGCTTTAATTAGTGTATGCTTCAGAGGCTCATGGATCTCTCAAGAATATTTTGATAAAATACATATGCATAGGAGTCGAGATCATTTGAGTAAGTTAACTTTAAAATTTAACAGATTTGAGTTCAATAGTTTGATTTGCATTTAATATCGACTGATGTATTGTGTATTTAATAATGAGTTTGTAGGTATCATTACCAAGGTTTGAGTCGATAATTTTGAATAAATTGAGCATTGGGTAGATTGTTATAAATAAATAGTATATTTGTAATATTCCAATGAGTTCAAAAATTAGATTTTCTGACGTTTCGTGACTTGGTGTAAGCCACTTCTTCAGAGAATAATTAATACTCTGTTTCGAATACATTTATGTACTCGGTAATTCATTCCTTGATGTCTTAATTAAAACTTAGAAATGTCTATTGTAAATTTTATTCTTACTTATATGAGTAAACAAATATCACCAAAAGTTTGCCAATTGTATTGTACTAACTACTTAACAGATATGGAAGATTAAGTACGAAAATACACAGTCAGATGTCTAATATACTTAACCAGTTTGTAATATACATCAAAAATATGTTTAGTTACTATTTATTAACATTAAACAAATTGAACCTTTCCATTTTCATCAACTGATCTCCGCCAATTATAATTTTCTGTTTAATTTTTATAAAACGCTAACTCTAATTGTATTGTTATCTGTATTGTATCACTTATCATATCGGTATTACAAAGATTTCCAGTCTGAACCATAATTACAAAAAGTGGATGTAACAATGTAATGAATGTTTGTTTATCGAATTATTCTAAAATACAATCAGAAGACTTGTGTTGTTTTTTCTTTCCAATAGAATACCTTTATAAAAGTGATTTATTGTTAACTGTGTTAATTTAGATCCACCAATAATGATATTAAAAATAATCTACTTTAATGGTGAAATCAATTAATTTTAGAAAATAAGGCGTATAATTCAACATGAATAACCTAATAGTTGAATTCATGAGTCAAGTGAAGCTGGACTACCATGGAAAACATGGAAGCACTGGACGGCCGTTTCGTCCTAATGTGGGGCTCCTCAGTAGTGCGCACCCACGATCCCGCCTCGCAAGATTCGAAACCAGTACCTATCAGTCTCGCGCGCGAGCGATCAACCATTAGACCACTGGGTTGGCCGGCATCCAACGGAGTTAATGTTTAACTTTAACATGAATAACAAATTATTCATTAGAATGTAAGTATTTTGACAAAATAAAAGAATAATCTTTCAGTTCACACCGTCTAACGATATACAAAACTAATCTTGAAATTATAGGGAATCCCTTAATTGCCAGGTTTATCTGTTGATGTTTTTTGCCTAAGAATCTTGAATATTGTTATCAAAGTATCAGACGGATACTTGTCATTTCTCATTTGCTTGAAAATCGCGTCGTTTATAGATTTGGTTAAATATTCGATACCATTATTCTTTTATATTTTTATTCTAAACGTTTACTTTCATACTTTGAACATTTACTTATTAAGAGATGTTTTTCTTTTAAAATCCGAGATTTGTCCCAGTATTTGTTTTTTGAGAAAATATAATTGGTAGTTATTATGATAATTTATCTTTTCAAATAACATGTACGTTTTTCATTCGTTCTCTTCTAATATCTACTTTTAAGAAGCTACATGATAAAAGATGAGATATCTTGTAGTAAACTGACTACAGTTAGTAAAGTATTGTCCTTACCACTTGATAAAAACGTGAATAACGTTTGATCACATATAATTTTGAACAGAAACAATAAGCTAGTTGTTCAGTTTATTTTGGTAATTATTCGAAGGTGCGGATGTTTACTGAAGATTATTCCTATGGAAAGTAGGCTTCGATCAAAGAACTATTGAGAGCCAAAAAAATAGTGAACAACTATTTCAAAGTTTATTTCGTAAGAAAATTAATAGAGAGGTCTCAGACGATAAGTGGTCATTATTCTTTGTACTAATTTCTGAGTTTATCTCTCAATATATTGTTCATCATTTAATGTACAAAATAATTCTTCAAAAACTTAACACAACTTACGTCAATCAACTTTCTCATTAATTAACTATCTGAACTAAAAGAAACTATTAATATTCATTGATGAACAAATTAATAAGAATCAACAGTGGTGAATACACGTATATCATTAAGAATAATAATAATAGTAGCTTTTATAATACCATAAATGTTTTAAGAAATTCAAGGCACCAGTTGCATAATCTTTTAAAACGTCCACAGTTCACATGCTCTATATAGTAATTATTGAAAAAATATATTTTACAAATCATTTTAATGGTCACTCATTTACGATGACGAAAGTTTTATTTTCCGGTCCAGCTAATACACCATGTTTAGGGAGAATAGGATTCCCATGTGTTTGTTGATTTTCTTTGCAGGATAGATAAAAACGAAAATATCCCGTTTTCATTCTACATTATTGAACAAACTTTTGTGTTAAGTTATAAAACAAAAAAACTATGTGAGATAAATGTTACTGATTTTTTAATCAGCTTAAAGTTTTCAAAGAAAAAAATAGCAATAAAACATTCACAACACTAGTACTTGATAGTTTAGTTTACGTCATTATATCGAAGCATTTACTAAACTTCAATAGACATTTTTTCCAGTTATTATTAACGTAATCTATAAACAGCTACACAAGCAATAAGTTACTGAATGAACTGAATTCAATATAAAGCTCAAAGATCAACCATTTCTCTCTCATACTGGTTGAAACAAGCCAGAAAGACTTATCATAATCATGTTATTGAACCGTGTTTAATAAAAGCACGTGAATTGATAGATTTTTTTTTAGAACGAAACTAGATGAACAAAACTATCTTTCGTGCAGTGAAAAAATCGTTTTCAGCTGGTAAATAACTATTGGAGTATATATATATAGTCTTGAGGATTTGGGTTGTAAACGATTTTATTTCCAGTATTAACAGTGAATCGTGTGACTTATTGTGTAAATGTGTACCACTGGAGATCATGTCCAGTAAACTGTCAAAAAAGTTAATTGTTTTTAGAAATACAAGTAATTTGATTTTCCCCAATAAAAAAAAATAGAATTTTATTAAAGATGAACATCTCTCTAAGATAAATACCGCGTACGATTAACGTTTATAAATTTAAACAAATCTATTACATAACATATGCCTTTAGGAAAAATTGACAAAAAAATACACATAATTTCAGCCATATTTACTGTGAAACACTTTTGTAAGTATTTTAAAAACAATATGATGTTTTATATCAATTTTCGTCAATATTAGAACCAATAGTTTAGTTGTCGAGTATATAGAAGACATAATTTGTATAAAATTATATCTGAAATTATGCCAGCAAGTGAAATTGCAAATGATATCGATTTTGATTATTACCCTGAAGTCTAAACAGATTTGTTGGACGAAACTTTGGAATTATTTTAATTCAGTCGATGCGATTAGTTCAAATATAATTTCACACTAATAAGGTATGGTGTTTTGTAATTTTGTTTTAAAGCACTTAGAATTTTTAGATTGTAAAACTACCATGTCTAATGATGATAAACTATGATGTTTGTGAAGATGACCAATTTCATAAAAATATATTTTATTGAAATTTTCACAGATTGAACTCATGAGTCATTTGAAGCTAGACCACCATGGGAAACCTGGGAGCACTGGACGGCCGTTTCGTCCTAGTATAGGACTCCTCGGCAGTGCACACCCATCCAACGGTGTTAATGTCTAACTTCAACCAAACCACGAAGTTGCGCCACCTTATACCATTGTCTTCAGTGAGTTGATATCTCACAACAGACCTGGTTGAACTCCACTGGTAACGGCCTACCACTAGAACTCCAGGAGTATCTCTTGAAGTTGGTCACTAGTGAGCATGTGATTATTATTATCAGAATGTGTTTTGTGGAGACTTTTAGAAATTTTCACAGATTGAACTCATGAGTCAGTTGAAGCTAGACCACCATTGAAAACCGGCTCAGTGGTCTAATGGTTAAGTGCTCGCGCGCGAAGCCAGTAGGTCCTGGGTTCGAGCCCCGGGTGGTGCGGGGTCGTGGATGCGCACTGCTGAGGAGTCCCATACTAGGACGAAACGGCCGTCCAGTGCTTCCAGGTTTTCAATGGTGGTCTAGCTTCAACTGACTCATGAGTTCAATCTGTGAAAATTTCTAAACATCGAGTCCCACGAGTGCTAATCATTCATAACAATCAATTTTTGTCGATTTTAGAATAAGTATTGAGAACAAATACAACAGACTATCTCATACAATCTCACTTTGAAGTTTTCCTTAAGTTAACTTCATTTTTGAAATATAAAGGTATAATCGTTCATTACATTTTGTGTGTCTAAGCATATAATTCTAATACTCAAGTCGTGTTTTTTTGTAAAGTCTGTATTAAGTAACCATTTTAATGTTAAATTATAGTGGTGAATCCCGGAAATACATCACTTGTTTCTCTCTATAATAAACTATTCCTAATCTAGAAACTCTTGCATTTCTATTTTTCGCTTGTTTTTTCGTTTCTAGTCTAACAAACTGTTTAATTTGTAATGTAACGGTGTAGCAATAAACTTATAAATTCAGTGAAACAAATGTTGTTCCAATCCACTGTTATGCTTCACTACTGACAACATTTATATGATTTAGAGCGAATGACATTACTTTTGAATAACAGAATGTGTATAACTAAAATACTTTGAAAATGAATTTGACCGAGAAGTTGAATCAATAGCAAGTTTGTGCTATAAATCTATCTTATTGAGTTGTTCGGTTTCAGGGGTGATTATGAAAACAGTTATAGAGCCTAGTAAATATTTGTGTTTTAACTGACACAAATGTGATTGATTAGACTCGAGATATCACCCTGAAAGTAAAATACCAAGAGCATAGGTTGTTGACGCAGAGAATAATTGGATTCAATGTGTTATTTCGAATTTACCTTCAGAAAAATCAGTTCCCCTAGATGATATTAGCTTTTTATCATGATGATTTCATTGTCGTTCTGTATATCGTCAGTGATAATTCCATTTGAAAGCTCAGAGTGTGGTGTACGCTTCTTAAGTGGACAGAAATAAGCAGTATGTAGCAGGAATTGGAAGTGGAATGCTTAACAGCAGAATATTAAAATGAAGAGAAAAGGAAGGGGAACATAGAGAAAATGGAATATCAGCATGATTAAAAGAATTGTGGAGTATGTAAAGCACTATTTAAAGAAGATATGTAAATGATGTGTGCCATGTTCTTATGACTGAACAGATCAATGACGCATAAACCGTTCCGAGCAGTGCAGAGTCAATTCTGAGTTTTCAATGGTCCACCGAGATACTAGCTTCTCACCTAACTCTACCAGTTTAGTCCGGAACACCAATATCAGCCTCTGTTATACAGATAATATATTCCAGATATATTGAGTTTATATACAAACAAACCAGATCTCATCATACCATAAAATAGAAGATAAAAATTATACAAGATCAAGCCGAAAAGTGGCCATGATTTTGAGAGACTGATACTAATAAGTTGGTAATATCTTAGGAATGATAAATCGTATAATAATAGTCAATGGGTCAAATATAGGCTCATAATAAGAGGAATATGAATGTGCATATAGTATAGTTACTTAATGGTTATAGAACAAGAATATATATAATAACGGTCCATAAATAATTACTAGCGGTTACTATTCATTTATCCTCGTCCGGACCTAACGATATGTTTAATGCATGATTTTCATACTTTATAAAGACACCTGAGTTTCCATTCACTACAAGAGGACATAATCAAAAACATACATCTGAACTACAGATCTTAGACATAATGTGTTTTGATTATGAATCCAAACAAATAAAAATATTTGGTTTGAAGTGAGTAAACTGTACTTTAAAAGTCTCGGAACGGCAAATAATTGAACTTCATTTCCGTTATATTTTCCTTTAGATGTTCGTGTAAATAAAGTAGTTATTTCATATAGACATTTTACGAACATTAAAAATCTGCAGAAAATGAGTTGCATTGCCGTTTAAAACAAATTATAAACTTGTCATTCAAAAACTTGTGTTGCAGCAAATTGTCAGCTTTTCTCTGAAATTATCAGTTGTTTTGATTAGTATTGTCGACTGTGGAATAGATCTTACAACAACTGTCTATTGTCAAATGGAATAGTAAAATTACTGTTGGCATATCGAAGTCTGAATTCACTGAATTTCTTAAATTAAATTATCGTAATCCTATAATATGGATTATTCTAATTATACTCATCCTGAAACTTGAGATTATTAAATTAAATGACACTTTGTGTTGTTATTGTGTTCTATTGATCAATCGCATAACTTAAAGAAATACATACCCAGTACTGCTCAGTATTTTTTTATTTTTGAGTTGATGTCGCTTTATGTTGAATATTTTGTTTCTAGTAGGTAAAAATGAAAATTTGTCTCAAATGATAAATATAAGGATAATGCTTTTCCTTAAGTCGTTTCATTTATCCAATATGAATACCCAAAGAAAAAGACATTACTTTTATTTGAAGAGTGAGTCATTTTCATTTCCCTATTCCACATTCACTGTATAATGTAAGTGTTTATTGTTCAAGGCATATTTTATGATTAATTTCTAACTACATTAGTGTTTACCTATATACAGCTAAATGTGAAGCATCTTGTTGGCTTGCAATAATTGGAACAATATGTTGCGTAACCTCATCATTTATTGGTGCATTGAGAATGAGATATTGCAATGTTAAGGAGACGAAAAAGTATAAAACAGCACAATTTATTAATTCAATAGCTGGATGTAAGTTACCTTTTGGTTTTCAGTTTTATATAATGTGATTATTATGTATTAACGGTTTTTATATTCGACATGTCCCCATTATTGATAAAAGACTTGGATTTCATATATAAAAAATAGGCTAAAATTAATGTAGATGCAAAAATACCCTTCCCTACAAATGTAACAGATCAAATCAGCAGATAAAATTCTTGTACTCTGGTCTTATTTCGGCTGTAATAAAACAACAATTATAATGTTGCTGATTATGATAAAGTACTAAAGTAAAATGGATAAACTACTAACTTTAGTATTTAAGACTACGTTGTTAACTAATGAGTCAAACCGCTAGTACGCACTGTTTATTAGGGACAGGAATAAAATATTTCCCATTTTATGTAATTCATCCACTAACTGTTTTTACGTAATAGTGTGAATCGTGAAATCTTTATCGTCAACCAACAATCTTGAAAATACTATCAGTAGATTACAGTTTATGGATATCTGGAAGATAATATTTATTAACTTACGCTACGATGTTCATGATAAATAATATTAAAGTTAACTTGTTAAGATGATATCCATGACTCACATTATTATATTTTAAAATGACAGTGAGATGAAAGGATGAAACTTTTGGGATGTGATCATTTTTATGATCCCCAGATAAAGAGTTCCAATACTCAACGCCATTTAATGATTGTCAACATAGTAGGGCCGATTCTTATCTTACTACGAGGACTTTAGTAATGTTGTGTTATAAAACTAATAGTTTAATAGTGAAAGATTCGCTGTTTTCCAAAGAAAATCATTGAAATAGATCTCATAAAGGATTCATCATCGAAATTTCCACATAGCTGATTCCGTAAGCCCATTTCTTTGAAGCTTGTACTGATGATGCTATCTAGAACGATAATGTGAGCTTCATGATCAAACTATTCTGTCAAGAGGAATCAATACTTTCTATTATTAATGCTGTATACATGCTTACAGTAAGCCTGCATAAAAATTAATGCATTAATTTAAATTAATTATCTTCAAGTCTAAAATAATAATGAGACACAATTGTTTAATCTATTAAAACCTCATTATCTTCCTTGAAACTTTATAACACCAGATTATAAGATAGAAGATAAACAATTAGAAACTGTTGGTTCAATGTTTATTTAATTTTTTGGCTAGATGTAGTGAAATCCAATACTTTTTGTCAGTCATATTAATTACTAATAGCAAGCTTCTTTTTATTGTTTTATGGCATAATTAAATTAAGCTTTTCTGTTCAAACCACTGTTAAATTATATAAAATGTGGAGATCATCATACACAAAACACCTTTCCGCTGTCTTCTTAATAAAACAACATGTTTCAAAACAGTACACAATCATTAAGTTTGCAAGAATACTGTATCTATAGTGTAAAGATCAGTTTCGGGTATAGTACATTTCAAGTATAATAATGCAGAATTGTGAGCTTTAAGGCAATAAACTTGACTTGACTAATTAAACTGGGAATAAAAACGTATATGATTGAATTTTTAAATTATTAAACCCTAAATGTCAAATATTTGGTGGTGAAACAATACATAATTTGGTTCTTAACAAAATCGTTTTATCTACGTAAATTTGATTAACAGTTATTAATAAAATCTAAGACGAACTCCTCAGCTGGAAATATAACCATTCCAACGTTGATACTCACGGAAAGACAGACTGATTAGTTGAAATCCTTGATAACGACTATGGGAGAAAATGTAATAAGGTAATACAAATAATCCAAATTGTTAGTAATTTTAGCGATATCTAACCTTTGTATCATTTCAAAGTGTAAAGATTAACTGAGAAATACTTCTAATTACACAACTATATTTATTCCAAAGTCTTAATTTTTCTTTTTTTGAAATTAGTTAAATGCTGTTTTTATTCTTTTTTCAGTTATTAGTTTGTTAAGTTCCGTGTCTGTTTGGGCAGATTTTCTTTGTCATCTTCCATATGAACTAAGTACAACTTATCAATTGAATAAATTAACTTTTAATCAACATAAACAACCAATTAAGAACAGGAAAATATTTTTACCTCAAACTGGCAATAATCAAACTAATATATTAACAATTTCTTCAATGTTACATCTTTCTCGTAATTATTCTTTATCTAATTGGATAAAATTTAAAAAGGATTTAAATCATCTTGAACATTTACATTATAATGGAAATTATTTATTTGGTTGGGCATATTGGTTTTGTGTAGTATCAGTTATATTTTTATTTTTAAGTAATTTGATTTATTTAATGAGAAAAGATTGTGAAGATGAAAGACCAGTTGAAATTGTTTTCACTTGACAACAAAAACTCTAAAATGTTATCAACTAATGAATTACTATTGAATGTAATAGTTAAATGTGTTATTTAATCTCAAATACAAAAAAAAATGAAGTAAATGTGTTAAGTCTTGCTGATTGGATGCTATGTTCGTTCCTATGCTATTCTGATAACCCGCACGCTAGAACTATACAGCGACCTGAACACCAGAAAGAAGATGCAAAGTATGGGAGAAACACTTTACTCCAAGGTTAGTTTTTGTACAGAAGACATGGGTATTTATAGATGTTAACGTTTGTTAAATCAGTATCATATTTCGGCCAATCCGTTAACGACATATTATGCTACTGACCAATAGTAGCACGCTACGTTGTAATTCTAAAATGCTTCATCGTGCTCTGATTGGCTAGGACTCTTCGGCTCCTTTTGGGCCTCTGGAGGCTCCGTTGAAGTTCTCCGAAAGCAGACTCAACAAAATGATAAGAAATAAGAAATAATATTTCACTTCAGAGTTTGTTTTCGCTCTTGGTAATTGTAATTTCGGTTCACAAGAATTAGGTAATGAATATAGAGATAAAATTTTAAAAGTTGAGATCATGAGCCAATTGAATCTAGACCACTATGGACAACCTGGAAGCATTGGACGGCCGTTTCGTCCTACTGTGGGACTCCTCAGCAGCGGATCGTGAATGCGCACTGCTGAATAGTCTCATAGTAGGACAAAACGGCCGTCTAATGCTTCTAGGTTTTTTGTTTGTTTTAGCACATCATTATGTCTATTGTGCTCACAATCTATTCAGGCGCGTTTATGAAAAGTTTACGACCTTTCGCTATACGTGATACAAAAAGGTACAATCAGCGACATCATGGTGGCTGGCAGTATGTATTGAAACGAATGAACATTAATCAAATGTGGATTACCGAACTCCTAACATCTAACTGGTCATCATTCAAAATTTATCGTCACAACCGATCAAGGTATAAGAAAAGGAAACTTGTTGAAATACTTTATGCTGAGAATTCTATGTTGTACCAAAAATATAATGTTGAATAAAGCTTCTAATAATAATAATGATAATAATAATGATAGTGGTCTGGCTTCAATTGACATATGATATCAACTATTAAAATTACTATAATATCCATAAAAACCCTTTCTGATGTAAATAAAAGTTTTTTTCTTTTTTTAAAGACTTGAAAACATTTAATATTATTTAAGTAGATAGTTAATTTAGAAATAAATCATCATACATGTGTGCGAAATTACATTTTAGATAAAATATTTCAACTGTATAGGTAATCGAAATTCACTTGGTGTTGTTTACTTGTATTTTCCAATTGTTGCTTATAAAGCTTGTGAATTAAGATAATATCTAGACAGACAGGATGCACATATGCCAATAAAAGACTGATCAATTGCAGTCCTAAATAACAATGGGAAGATACAAATAAACAGTATCAAGTGAATTTAAAACTTCACCCCATTGCACAAGCTGGTGGCTATCAGGACTCAGTAACTAAGTGGTAACGGGATGGCGTTTGTACCGGGTACGAGTCCCAGAGTGAACATCAACTCTGAGATGCAACTGCTTCCGGTTGACGAGTTTTAAGTAGGACGAAACGCGCGTCCTGAATTCCATTGCTAGCCATTATCCATCTTTGCTTGTATAGTAAATCGTTTGTGGAGAACATTGAAGATAATGAACGTGACTTCAGAAAAGTATTATATTCATAACAAATCAGATACGAAATAAAGTTAAACAGTTCCTAATCGATTGAGATCATGAACCGATTGATGTTAGACCACCACAATTGAAAACCTGGAAGAACTGGACGGTCGTTTCGTCTTATTGTGAGACCCCTCAGCAGTGCGCATCCACGATCCCGCTCGCGGGATTCGAACCCAGGGCCTTCGGTCTCGCGCGCGAACGCTTAACCAACTGGACCACTGAGCCGGCATCCAATGGTGATAGTTCCTAATCGAGTTTATCAGCATTTAATTCAAGCAAAAAAGGGTTAAGAAAAGTATGTCTGATTTCGATGTTCTTCATTTAACGGTAAGCATAATTTCTTTTCCATCTCAAAACTATTCACAGAAATGCTGATGATCAGCATACATTGATAAGAAGGAAAGAATTTGCGAATAGTTTGACATTTACATCTGTCCAGATGCAAAACTTCACCATGTTGTTTCAAATCAATAGGTATTCTGTAGATGATAAGCCTCAACTAAGAGAGTTATTCTGTATAACACACAAATTCAGAAAGATTTTTAAGTGACAACCAATCACTCGGCTAATTAAGAACAATAAAATTAATCATTCAATAATCTAATGACTTTAACATAGGTGTGAATGTATATTTTGACTTCAGATTAGTTTATGATTACTGACAAAGTAATGAAAAGTATAGTTCCAATCATAACTTGATTTTCATCCTTGTGAAACAAGATTAGAATGTAACAGAAATGACAACCGTTCTAAAATGCCTTTGAATAAGTGAGATACATAAATTGATGCAGTAGTATTCAGGAATTTCATGAAAACATATTGAGAATACATTACAACTTCCATAAAGAGAATAAAGTTTCTCTCATTTATTATGACAATCTGATCAAAGTGTCACTACATTAATTTGTGAATAAGGTCACATTTTAGTGGCTTCTCGTATAAAATAATAAGATTCCGAATTAAAAGATTATTCAATTGGCCAAGAGCTTTTATCAATAAGTCAACTTATTAAACCCTAAATGGCATTATCAATATTGACAGACACATTTAGTTCTGTTGACCACATCTTGTTTACAAATGAGAAAACGTCGAAATGATTAGATAACTAAGAAGCAGCTGTTCTCATTCTCTGTTCCCTAAAGATGCTTGGAATATTTTCGATAATGTCTGATTTCTGTTTAGTGATGAAATTTCGGAGTACGTTTTGTTATATTTAACTTCCATCTCTATTATTATAATCTAAATTTCAGTATCATTCAATAATCACTTTCGATTAAACATTTCATATAATACACCAGCTTTCTACTCATCAGGTATAAATCCGTTCGCGGAATATAGGGGCAACAAATCAAATCGATCTTTATTAACTCACATATTTCTTAGTAATCAGAGTTTGATAGGGAAACAGTGAAAAATAATTTACATAATGAGCAAATTATGTTGTAAATAATCAACTTATTTTGGGCATTTATTGATGAAGTGAATGAACTTTGATATAGGTGAAGTTTTTAGCTATAAAATGTAAATCAATAGAATTAGATGTTAATTCAGGATACATAGATCTTGATGAACTTGTAACAATCCTCTCTCAACTTATTATTTTTCTATGGCATATAAAATGGTTTAAGTTAACCTTATCATGTTTTCTCTGTCTACTCACTGTGGCTTAGACTCTTGATTCATCGTGTATATACGTGTCAAAGTGACTGAATTCATGTCTGTATTTAATTTTTAACTATACCCTCATTGGTTGTAAATACGATTAGTCAATAATTTTATTCATTCATTAATTTCCACTGATACTAGAAAAAAACATGTTCATACACATACATTCTTTCTCTTCTCTCACTTACCACTGTGCTTGTTTGATCCAACTGATTATTAATGAACGCCTCAACAAAACTCCTAGTCTTACTTCTGAATATTCTCAAGGAAACTAACGACAACACCTAGCCAGAGAATAAATACTTGGTTAAATGGGTTGGTAAAATTTGTGGTCAATCAAGGGAACTAACCTTAACAAACTAATGACCCTGATGTGAAAACTTCAGGGATATATCAATGAGCTATGTATCAGTAGAAATTTAAAAAGATTTGTAATATAATGTCCTTACTATAAATGCTGAAAATATCACAGGAGCATATAAGACTTATTATTCTCAAAGCGGCAGGTCACAATGAGCAAGATGAGTAAAAATTATTGGATTAAGGTTACTGTGAGGTTTTCGTAGCTTACCTGGATTTACTTAAAATTTCGTAACTTCAACTGAATATTCTGAATAGTTTGAATTTTTAGGCAACCATACCTGACAAACAGAAGAAATATAGTCTCACTCTAGCTAATTTTACACAGTTAGTGATCGAATTTCGGCATATTTTCTACGATATTATGGTACATAGATCCATACCGTATAGATAAGAGCTAAAATTATGTCAAGTACCTATGACTGAAAGTCCAATATGCTCAATGCTTTGACAACTACGATCCAGAGTTGTTTATGCTGAATTTTATTTTGGTAGATCACAGTGGGTGCAACTAATTGTCCACCTAAAAACAACTTTATGTTAATTTCTTGAGATGCTTTTCCTTATGCTCTCCGATTTTGTCGATTGATTACTGAACGGTAAAGATACGTTCAATCCTTTATTGAGACGTTTGTTTGCTTAGCGTAGCGAAAAAAAACGATAAGAAAATCAAATATGTTTAGATACTCTCAGATAATGAACAGAGTTTATTAGGCTATAATAGTCAATAATGTTACTAATTTCATTGAGATTTTTTCTGACTATCAAATGCCACGTATGGTATATGACATTAAAGAGAACACTTATTACTTTATTCAAGCAACGAGGATAATTAGATATTGAATGTTAGGAAACACCAGTTATTTAATAGATAACAATTAGAATTAAAGATCAGTATCTTTTCGGCATTTTTTGGATGAAGTTCAGTTTAACGATTCTTCAGCTTGTATTATTTTTATCTCTTTTTCATAATGCTATTTATGTTCGTTAAATCCCATATGAAAATACAATACACAATAAGGAGAAACTGACGTGAAATATTGTCTACGAGAATACGAATATAGGAAAACTTCAGTAATAAACATAATAATCTGAATGAAAAGTAGCTAGATTAGAAAGAATATCAGGCCCTTACTTGGGTAATAAATCCTTCTTTCAGGATTCAGAAATGGATAATATCATCTGTATGACGCTAATTTTTTTCAATGATAGGAACCAATAATTAGTTATGAGAGCAGTCTTTATCAGAAACAAACTTGACTAATT